AAGTTTTTTAAAAATTAAATGAATGGCACAATGTCAGAGTGATACGTCGCTCAGAATTACTAGTAATTCGTTTCTTGAACCCCAATTAATATACATTAACTTTCTCACAGTCAGCTGATAGTGTCCTCGTTCTCTACGGATACTTTCTTACCTACATTTGTTGTTTCACCTTCAATATTTAAAACTTCCCTCATCGTGCAACGTGGTTGATGATAATCAATACGCAACGCTATTATATGGCAATCGTCAGAAAGAAATCCCTGTAGTCTTGAGCGAACTAGTACTTTCTGACTAATTTGATTGTGTCATACAGTTCAATTGTAGACTTATAGTATTTTTATATTGAACTACTACTCGATATGTATTATCTTATAACTAAAAATTATAAATATCATATATATATATAGAAAGGGAGAGGTAGTGAAAAACTAATAGTAGAGAAATATTTTCCCATTCTTCTCGGCTTTTTACTTAAAATATGGATGAGAACTTTTTCTTTAATCTCATTACACTACCACCATCATCAATCATTGTGGCCAAGTTGTCACGTCCGTTTTATAACTTACAATTGTTCCCATTATCGTTATCATCTTCTAAAACTAATTGAATTCCTCAATAATTAAATCACCCAATCTATTGGTATTCTTGCTGAACATATTTGAAATCTTGAGCTATTTTTATCAACATTATTATGACCACTTCGCCATTGTTTATCTAGTTCATAAGAACCTTACTATTTAGGTTACCCGGATAAATTAGTCACTTTATATTTTCCTTCGCTTGTTTAATTGTTTAAGAGCAACAGAATACTGAAATGGTTAATAGATGCTCTAAGAAATGTCACATTTTTCAAAGTTTTTATTGTGAAAATTAGTCTACATTTTAAAGATTGAGAATATGTGCAATTAAATGGAATGACTCCACTTTATTTCTCGATGCCTTTTGTTCACGCTTTATGAAATATAAATTTAGATATTTATGTGTTTTCTTCCTATCTTAGTATCAAAGTCCACATACAATTTTTCTATCTTTGATTATTGCTCAGATGTGTATCGATTACCAAACTTTCTATTTTGAGTCGATAATCTGTTTGGGGCTCAAAATCCATAGTACATACATAGTTTACTGTTCAATTTAATAATAAATGAATATTCACTAAGTATAGTGTTTTGATCACGTTAGTGACAATTTCATAGCTTGTGAACTGAAAAGAACTCTAGAAATATTGGGTTGTTTATAGCCGAGTAAAGATATAGGGAAATAATGGCTCTGAACAACGCTTTGTTTTCAATAAATTCTATATTATTAAATATCTTGTGTTATTTTTATATCTAGTGAACTATTTGCATAAGAATCAACTTGATAAACAATAAGGTCAAAGGTTCAAAACATTGACCAAAGTTTGTATAACATTGATAATCATCCTCTTCGATGACTGTTTTATGTGTAATTTAACATTCTGCATAGTTTGATCTAAAGACAAGCCAAATCAAAAGGCAATCTGGCATAACTCTTTATACCACTACATTAATAAATTACAAATAAGATTTTTCCAATAGCCTATTAAGAATAAATAGAAACGGCCTACTCTTATATCTTCCTTCTTGTTTATTCTTTGACGAACGGATAGGAGATGGCATTAAAAATCCCCCTCTCAAACTAACACAAATTGAAAAGGTTTTTGTGGTTTAACGTTTAAAAGTCTTCATTACTGAAGTGGTGTATACTGATTATTAGGAAATATCAGAATGGGTTTTGTGGGAGTTCAACCAGGTCTGTTGTGAGATATCAACTCACTGAAGACAATGGTGTACGGTGGCGCAACTTCGTGGATTGGTTGAAGTTAGACATTAACACCGTTGGATGCCGGCTCAGTGGTCTAGTGGTTAAGTGCGCGCGCGAAGCCAGTAGGTCCTGGGTTCGAGCCCCGCGTGGTGCGGGATCGTGGATGCGCACTGCTGAGGAGTCCTATACTAGGACGAAACGGCCGTCCAGTGCTTCCAGGTTTTCAATGGTGGTCGAGCTTCAACTGACTCATGATTTCAATCTGTGATATTAGGAAATAATCATAAAATATACGTTTCAGAGTATTAGAATTTTACTATATGCTGAAGAGAAACATATTACATACGGTATTGTTCAATTCAGTAACACATACGTTGTTGAATAGAATTGATCGTCAGTAGAGTTGTAACGCTACTTTATTAACTGAAGAGACCATAATGGTGAATAATTAGCTTATATTTTAACCGATACAGTTTTCGATTCCTGTTAAGCCAACAATACATAATCAGTTATAAAAAAAATGGTGTGTAACAGTGGAATCCAGGAAGTGCGTTTCGTCCTATTTGCGACTCGTCAGCTGGACGTACCTGCATCCCAGAGTTGGCATGTCACCTTGGGACTCGAACCTAGTGCCGTTCGCTTAAAAAGCCATCGCGTCACCCACTTAGCTACACAGTCTTGATAACAACTTACTAGTGCAATATCGGGGAAATATGCACAGTATGAACATATGCAAATAAGAGACATATCAATTACAATCCCAAACATCAATGGGAAGATTCGAGTAAATATTTAGTTAGCTTTCTTAACCTATCGTTCTATCCAAATCATCATTACTAACAACCAAATCACTATGAAATTTTAATGTGACATTTCTTGCTATTATGTGAATGATCAAGACATTTTGATAACCTGCGGTAAACGTTTTAGTAAATATTTATTTTCATGTATATATGCCACAGTTAATACCAACTTCACGTTCAAAATATGAGGTATTATTTGTTGTTTACTAAATACTCTAATTACAATTTGATCAAAACACTTTTTTTTCATAAACAATAACCTATGGTGTCTAACATTTTAGTGCCGCAAGCTGCAACGAATATGGTTTCACATAAAATGTATTTCGGATGCAACTAAGATTTCAATTATCATTCTATGTATTAATCGGTCTTATTAATTGCCAGTGATACAATTGTACCTCTTTAATATTTAGTTACCCATCCACTACATATATATATCTCTTAAAGAAATATGATTATTCAGTAAACTACTTCTACTTTCATCTGTAATATGCACTATTGAGTGATAACTTAAGTAAACGTTGTCAACTGTAATGAACACCTTTTCAAACATAATTAATGCTGGTAAAAATGTATTCCAACATGTTATTCAACATGTACTAACGTAGTTAGTTCCCGTAAAATCAGGAAAAACAAATATTCATAACATAACACTCAGATAAAATATCTTTCCCTTTATTAGTAAAGTGTTTGCTCTACAAGTAATAATAACTAGCATTTCCAAAGTATTTGTGATTTATTCTCTTTTTCTTTAGAGACAGTCAATTTATTTCAGGAGTTGTTTTACAAGATAATAATATATTAGTTATCACTTTATATTTCGATAACCAAATTTAAGTACCACTACTATTAATTCAAATCATATAGCTTTTTCTAGGGTTTTGATACAGCGTTGTTTGACTAAATGAGACAATATTCCGCATAAAACAACTTTGTTAACCATCCTGTAAGTGATATAAGTTTATACTGTGATGTACAAAGATCATAGAAATAAAAACAATGTAATCTGTTTCCAGAGTTTTTTGAATCAGCCATATCCTTTTGCTATTTGGTTTACAATAACTGTGACGAATGGAGATTCGAGTCTCAAGTTCATTAGGAAACAATTAAAAGAATTTTAATTATTGAAATTGACGTAAATTGGACTAAGATGCTTCCAAATTACTTTTAGATATTAAGTATAGTTGAATCATTTACCAGTCGCTTATCTCTGTTTTTCGAGGTAAAATTTATACAACTGCTTAACTGATAGTTCTCTGAAACTATATAACTACATTCTATAAATGTCCGCACAACTCAAAGGACGATACATTGCACGTGATACAAATAATAAGAGGACACATGACAGAACAAAATACGACATAGTACACTGTGATACAATTCACCTGTTTTGTGTTATATGTAAGACAAAATAAGCAAATGGTAGATATAGTGTATGCATAATACATACGAAATACATTTTAAGCAAATAATCCACCTTTCTAAAGGGGACTATATTTTAGTTTTCCACAGACTTATGGTTTGCAATTAATTGGCAAGTACTGGCTGATACTATTTACCACCAAGTCCTTAATATGTAAAAATGGTACCTCAAAACATTGTCAACAAGTGTCAACGAAATAAAACAGTGACCAGGTACATTATAAAGTGTGTAATTTGTTATTATGTTTCTTGTGAAACAATGTACTCACTAAAACATTCTAGTTGGGTTCATTTTCAAAAATAAAAAGAGCAAACATTTAAACAACTATTACTAATGCAACTTGGTTTTGTATTTAATCAGTCCAAGTTAATTAGTTTAATTCTCAAATGTGTTATGTCCTATCATTAACCTTATGAATGAAGATATCAACACAAACAAATGTGTATTACGTATTAACCTGTCAAAAAAGTAACATACTTGTCAGAAACTCTTTAGTTTATTTTTCAATGAGACATATACACTTAATTTTAACTTCTCATACAGTCATGGTTCACACTGTGATTTTCTCAAAAATTGTTAGACTAGTTTGCTTTGGAAATGTACTCAAAAATAATGATATCCAAGATGACAGGTAAATAATCTTGCTGACAATACAATGAGATTCATGGATCATTTTTTCCATAGGTAATAAGACAAATAACCCATACCAATAATATATTAATAATGAGTCTTAAAATGATGCCTAATATAAACAACCTTAGTCAAAGTTTTACGTTTGATTTCCGTCGTAAGGTTCATTAAATTTAAATTGTTTGCCGTAAGATTATCACATTCCTATCATCCAATTAATACGGTCAAAATATTTTTTTTTCAAAAATTAGTCTAACCAATCATAAAGCCCATTTTTATTTCTTACAAGTACCAGTTAAACACCTCACTATTGACCAATAGTTTTTAGTATTATCATTTATCCAGTAAAATATTTTGAAGTCTTTTTGAAATCTTTTTCAACGGAAATAAAAATTGTTGTCATACTAATGAAGAATTATTATAGTCATTATAAACCATATAATTTTTCACATTTTTCGTATCTTCTAACTTCATTTCTACTTGCAGTCAACATCTTTTAACAATATTCGAATTGAATGACATTCAAAATTATCACTTATTGAAAATATTGGAATAATGAATTTTCCGCTGTAAGTCAGTCAATATTTAATGTTTTAATTGTTTTAATTGATTTTGGATGTACATCTGAACAAGTTGTAGCTGTAACATCTAAGAACAAATTATTTCAGTATTAAACGAATTGTAATTTATAGAATCATTAATGACTCATAATCTGTTAAACAATGACACATTTCACTTTACAAAATAAGTAGTTGAATATTTGTTAGATGGAACGTTATTGTCAATGAAACATTTTATACCAAATTATATGTCATTTAGGTAAATGTAAGCTCATTCAAATAAATTCGATCATAATTGTTAGAATCTGTGATAACTAATTAATTAATTAACGCACAAGTCAGTAGGAGCCATATTTTTTAACTTTATAATGTCGTTCATAATACTATAATATAATGCCACTTAAGTGCTCTAAAAGAAATTTATTTAGAAAGATGTTTTGTTATGTAATACATTGTCTAATATTTAGTTTCCTTTAAAGTAGTTTAACTTTATTGGTGCAAAAGTAAATAGGATTTATTCATTGTTTGGGACATCTTAAATTTGAGATGGTGGAGAAGATTTGTAGCTCAGGTGGATGATTTTGGTCGAGTTTTGTTCTCTGAGCTGGATGGTTTAGTCAGCTCAGAGAACAAAACTCCACCAAAAACATCTTAAATTTACACCTAATAATATGAACGTATATTTTATGACATTTAGAATGAGAGCTTCTTTGGCAACAAAGTAATTATTTTATATAGCTTTCGGCAGCTTTATAATTGAAAAATAATTGATTTATACTAATAAGTAATATTTTTATATGATAATATTATTTATTACCATGCTAGATATAAAATGAACCTTATAATTTAGTTAAATCCCCACATGGATGGGAACAATCGAATGTATTTAACACAAAATTACAGGACTTGTTAATAAAATCTAACAATCATAAAGTAAATGGTTAATTTGCATAATATCCACCAGTTGTCTCAAAATGTCTCAGACTTCATTGTTCTTGCATTTTCATACAAATTGCATTCTCTTGCCATTCTTTACTGTTCGATCCTCTTGTCTCTCTGCTGCCAGACCTTCTGTTCATGACTAACATCATATACTACTTATGTCAATATAAGTACCAAACACCACATCGTGTCAAAACAGGATTTTATACAAACTTGATGGGAATTTCTCGAAATTTTGACAATTCAGTTGATCTAACTTCAACAACACGTCTGGTCGAATTCTCCTAAATAGAGACGAATGTTAAAATTTGTCAAAACGTAAATTATGAAGTCTGTCTACTGACTCCGTAAAAAAACAACGAAAAAAGTCTAATATCTAGACACAATTTAATTATAAAAATCTAATTATCTTCTTTATATTTTATAAGTCTAATTAAACTTTCCAGTTGACAAATAATGGATAGGTTTACACTAAATTGATATTATATTTTCCAAGCATTTTCATGAATTTCGCATAATCAACTGAATAGTATTTTCGCCACTCCCTTTCTCTCTCTCTGAACTAATTTTCTCGAATTTCTAAATAGTTTATTTCACTTAATGAGCTGATCGAAATAGTTGCACCGTATGTTTGACCAATTCATTTTTCTTTCCATTTTGTGAATAATGTATGTTTCTTTAAAATCTTTATCAAAAAGATGGATCACCGTGATAAAAAAATATCATATAACCAACGTAAACTTTTGAATTATATTCACATCAAGACAAAGAAACCTTGAAAAAAAGTTTTTCTTGATTTTTTTTTCACTCGCGACACTTTATGACAAAACAGATGAAAAGTAATTTAGAAACAGTATTAGTCAATTTTCAGCATTAATTACAAAATTGTAAGATGAAGAAGAATGAAAAGATCTGCGTTCTAAAGGTTTTAAACAGTGGGTACGCTTAGAACTAAACATCTGTTATGTATTCCAGATCATCTATATTGGAGTTGCTATTTGAATTCGATTAATTCATATATATTATGAATGAATGAAACTTCTAAAGCACTTCCGATAAATAACGTTCAGGTAGTACTGGTTTTAATCAAAAAGTTACACTCTTTATGTTCTGAACTTAATTATGAAACAAATGAACTAGTAGACTGAACTGTCTAACGGTCACTAAAATGAATGAAAATGTTACAAACTATTAACTTCAATTAAAAGTATTATTCGGCAACTTTTAGCAATTGCTTCGACCATAACTAGAAAATATGAGCATCAAGTAATATGACTCTATATATATTCAAATTAATTTGACTATCAGTAAATAGTCTCACTACTTTTCTTATTTCCTACGTTATACATTAAAAAGTAGCCGGTTTTTTGTATCGTTTTAGTAAAAATTAACAAGCTTGTCTGCTAATAAGCCGTTTCATTCAAAAGCAGAAGCAAAGTATATTCTTTAAGTACTATATTTACTCTGTATGTCAATATTAATGCAATAATGAAATCTATGAGTTTGTACGTTTTACTTAAAAGCTATATCAATCAGCAAGAATTTAAAGCATTTTAAACAACTCTTAAAAATAGTTGAACACATGGTACACTTTATATGATAGCTTAATATTTTATATAGAGGGTTAATTTTAATAGAATCGTTAGTTTACTATCGGTGTCAAATATGCGATTACAACCGCATCTGTCAGCATAGATTTATTTGCCTTCACCATGTTGATACCTTGTTTATACAACCATTATCATAAAAAACGGTAAGCTTAATAAATTGATTTCGTATTACAGTAAAAATTACTTTTTTTCTTATTTATTTATAACTAACTAAACGTTTCACCCATACTTCCAACATTATCACCAATACAATTTATATCGTTGGATTGAGTGGTTACAATTAACTTTCCCATTATCGATGATTTGTAAAACATTGATCCTTATGAAATGGTTCATATTCTTTGAGAAAGAGAGTCCAGACAAAAGTAATTACTTCAGCTTTAAAAGATAATTCAAAAAACATTTTACTCATTATTGAAACTGACTCAACATCTAAGTGAAAGAAAACGAAAATATAAGTGAAATATATTTCATTTTCTAAACCAACAATGTAATTAAATGTTAAAATACATTGTAAAAAGATGTTCTTTATTAAGGAGCGGCTCTTACACAAATCAAACTTGGGGTATTTTTTTTTCATTTTATGTTGATTTACAGAAAATTTGTGATGATTATAGTTTTCTGATAGAAATTTCCAATAGATCAATATATTAATTAACACAAAAATTAAATCTGGAAATGATATTCTTGAGATACGAAGTCAGTAACATTGTAAACTAAGATAATCTACATTCAATCATTTGAGTTTTGTTGCAATACTTAGTAAAATGCATATAATTAAAATACCTTTGTTACTGCTGTGAAATGACGTCTGCTAATAGGCTAATGCTTTCTTTTTTTTCTTAATTCTATTCGTTTAAATACAAATGATGTTAATTTTAGGAAACTGAAGTTATCGAAATAAAATGAGTGTGTAATAAACGTCCGAAAACTGGTAGAGAAAATCGTCGGGGGAAATTATAATTTATGGGCGAACCAATCAGGGATGAGATAGCACTAGATTATGTCAGTTCGTGATAAAAACCCTAAGTGTAGTCCCTAACCTTGACCATCAACTGTAAATTATAATTCTAATCCCTCATACTGCTTTATAGCCATCATTTGATCCTTGTTGTTGGGTGGACACTATTCAGGTCACTGTACCGTCGCTCAAGCGTTGTCAATAAATTATAGTCTTACCAAATCGTCTTCTCGAGAATTCAGACATTTATAAGAGTTTCCATTATATAGAAGGGTGTAAAATATGTTTCCAGGGTTAAGCTTCCCTTGCCTATGCGTTGTCGATTATTCGAAGGCACTTCAATCCTTAAAAGAATTCAAATCCATTAATCTACCTGCTACTTTCATTCATAAACCCTATTCTCGAGCTTCTGGAATCAGAAAATCCTACCTCTCTAACATACAAAGCATAGTTATATTGCATAACTTAATAATTATATTTTAGTGCACACTTGGGATTTGACCGCACGGATGATATTATTCGGTTCACATTCGTAACTTGTTTCCAATAACTGAAAAAGAAATTTTGATAGGCAGTTTTTTAAAATCTCAAAGATTATGTGTGTTTATGTAACAACGTTTCCATTAACTCAGAAATCCTCTCTGGTTGACGGAGTAACCTTTGATCTAGATTTTTAAATCAAATTTGAGACGAATCACACCCATGATTTAAGCTTCTTTTGGATAATCTATTCCATTATTAACAATATTCATGAATATACTTTGTTTCTCGGAAATAAAGTACCCCATTTGTATATCTTGGACAGCTTTAGCAGATGTTAACAAACGTAAACCGGAATCAGGCTTCAGCTATGTTAGCTCTTAAACCTCAATCGTTTACGCATTCATTTCTATTGAATATGCTTCCAGATCACTTGTATTCAACTAGAGATGCCATAATACTGTTTAATGCGCTTTTGAAAATAATTAGAATCACTCCATCTACCTTACCGAACATTAAGTTAATGCTACAAGTAGTAATATATGTCTACGCTATTTTAAAATGTTATTAATGTCGTAATTCGTATAACTGACGTTTTACTACTGGAATAGAGGATAATTGTAAACATTGGATTATATCCAAATAAACAGGTAAAATAAGTTGCATATCATCAAACCGAAGATTATCAACGTTATTATGCAAAAAACTGACAGAATTAGATTATGTTATCTAGTTTTATATATTTAAGTTATTATGTCAAAAAGTACTTAAAAGCTAAGCCAACTACGTGCATCAAAAATCAGGTTATTAAATGATAATTAATGTGTTCCTTCTAACTTAAGAATAATAAGTGATCAGTGGACAAACATAATTATTACGACTAAATTGCTGGATAAACTCATTTTATTTTACTATAAATAATTGCCAAACCGTCATATATATAAATATGAGCGTTACCACCTTTAATTTTCTGTAATATATTCCTGTTAAATGAATGAATGTGAATTTTGTATCAGTGTTTGTTTATGAGAGAGCAAACATTTCATGACTGGCTTGTTTAAAGCTCACTACACAGTAAACTTGGTTTATGGTTTAAAGATTCTTAATTATCATTTAAGGTAACTTCAAAATTTACTCATCGTCTATGCCTTAGGTGGTCTAGAAGTAGACAGCGGTGTTGGACTGAAATTTAATAACATTTGATTAGCATCCGTTTTCAATCATAATGAGTTCTTTCAGTTTTACAAATAGTTAATCTAGTTAATTACTATTTATTTAAACACAAACATTTACTGTTCTTTTTTCAAAATTCAGGTAACACATGGCACTTTTTCCCAATAAACGTGAAGTACTATATTCGAGATATCTACTCCTAAGCAATTTTCAAAGACGTAAGCCAAGTCCCCTCTATAATATAAAAAAACAGATAGATCAAAATTGTCTTTTTGGGAGAGAACTTACTTTGAAAATACACTTCATTATTCTCATGCAATTATTGATTTGATCTATATTAGTTGACTAAACAACAACTGGTAGGTCAAATGAGGTGACTATGAAATATACTAAGTACTTTTAATTGAAATAATATTTACCATCACATTTGAAGTATTAATAAACAAAAGCATCTAACAGATAGATAACCAAAATATTTTTTTGATCCAAAGGAGAGGACTTAGGGCCATAAAGCCTTTACACACGTTCAAATAGGAATGAATTTGATCAAGATACATATTATCATTTAATAAAAAGCTCATTCAAAAACTTGCATACAGTTTAAGTAATTAGCTGAGAATGTGTGGAGATCTATTGAAAACTAGAAAGAAACGGTAGCTGCATTATCATTATATCATATTCTTCTGCAGTGTATTGTCAAGATCCCGAATAAACTTGAATTCAGAAACATCTACTCCCTCAATATCCAGGATACCGTTGAGAAATGGAGCCAGTATACAATCTTCCATAAGTTTAAATTCAGTCAATTCTCAGGAAAGAGTGACTACTTAATTAACATCGGCGATTAATTGCACAATTCACATCATTACAAACTAATAATCTGGAAACCCATTTCGGGTTTAGTTACTTTTGGTGTTATACTTACTATTCAGTTGTTTGGTTAGTAAAGATTTGTTCAATGTGAACACATTTCCCGTGTCTCCCGTATTCTCTATTCGAAGATGTCAGTTAGTGCTAATTGTCTTCATATGGAATAAATTTACAAATGTTGTATCTCTAAACAAACAAACAGTTTCCATATACCTTAAAAAACACTCCTAAGAACGATTATCCTCATTATCATTTTTTTAAAAGGGACTTTTAATATGGATGTTTTTTCAGCCGTTTTATAACAAGATCCGAGCTTCATCTAAAATGTTGTTGAAGAGGGTAACTATCATAAATGAAACAAAGTATTTTCGTTTATTTGCTTTATATTACCTAGTCTTTCGATCTTCATAGAAATAGCAGTAGCTGACTAACAGCTAAAAGAACTTGTTTTCTTGGGCTGTTACATTGATCTAATAATATATAACACACTAGTAATCTGAGTGTGAAATGAAAAACCAGATAGACAGATAGATAAAAGCTTTTAGATATAATCATAGTTATATTTATTGTATTTATCTTGCAGTATATATTGTTTATTATTAAGTTATACTTCGACGTTATTTCAACAAAAATAGCTCAGTAATTATAGTTCAGAAAGACGTATATTAAGTAAAGTTATAATTGATGACAAGTATTTGGACAATGTAGTTACCCTATGCTAAAAACAATACCATAACTCCATGAAAGATATCAGCTGCTCGTGTTCATTTAATACTAAATCATCAGCAAATTCAGTAATTGTAACCATTAAATCATCATCCCGTCTATCTCCCCTTGATGCTTCTTAACCTACAATTACTAAGACATTATTGCAAATAAGAACGCTTTTAACTTATAAACTTGGTGATTACTTTGAATTAAATTGTCATTAAATTGATTCATTAGAAGAACACACATACAAGTAAGTAAGGTTTATATAGTAATTACATCGGATTTTTTTATCAATTTCGGTAGAATTTTATATAAAAATGACTCAAAGTTACTTATGAAAATCGTTTCATTTAAAGGTGGCTTCACGTTATCAAAATAACACTATTGATATTTGTAGTACTATGTATGTAACTATGACTATATATGCGTATAATCTGGCAAACATCGTTTTGAAAACAATATTATTAACATATGTCTTGTTTATTGTTTCTGTCTCATCTAAATACCATTTAAAGTCACAGTTGACATTATTCCATAATTGGTTGTAGATGAATGAGAAGGTCATTATGAAGTCATTCATAATTACTTTTCATTTATTTATCTAGTTATTTGAAATTATTTATATTAATACATCGGAATATCATAAGAAGCTTCTATTATTTATGCTTTCAATAAGATATATTCATAATGGCCGGATAAATCTATAAACTCAGAATGTAAAACTGTAACTAAAAAATATATATAAGTAACGACAAAACATGTAATGTAATCCACATACAACTTTTGGACTTTATTAGTGACCATTGACGATAAAGATTTGTTCCACTGTTGTGTAGTAATTTTAGATTCCTCTGTTTTAAATCCGTATGCTAATTCTAGTCACACTATGTCGCTGAAGAAGATATCTTATAAGAGGTTATTTGTTCAAATTCTTCTAATTTCTTTCAATTCTGAACAAGAACTATTGTTTGCAATGAAGCCTACATAAAGAAAATACACATCTTTGGAACTGTAGCGCTTTAAAAAATATTAAACACCAAAATTTGAAGCAATGAAGATATTTTATTCATATATACAAGTCCCAAATATTGTTTATGTAAACAATAGTGTTAGTTCATATTTCTATAAATGGTTTCTATATTTTATTGCACAACGACAGTTCAGTAAATGTCTCAGTAATCAGATAAGAAAAGTACGTTTTTATGACGTAATTATGTTGTACAATATATAGGGTGTATAAATTCATTCATAACTGAGCGATTCAGGTTTTATACTTGTTTGGTTCATTAAAAATTAACACAATGTATAAGTTACATTCCTGGTTAGAGATTATAGATAGAGAGGTTTTAATATTATGCTGAACCATACAAAAGAGAATGATTAAAATAATAGCTGGACATATGTTAACTGAATTCATACTATTTTCTTATCTCATTCAATAATAGCATAAACTGTATTATTTCAATGTTATGCTTATCGGAAATGTCTAACTAGTTTAAATACAGTTATTTCTAAATAGTGAAGACTAGTTTTGTGATTTTTTGATATTCCACACAATTTTTCAATTTAATTCATTTATTTACTAGTTAAAATTCATTTCTCTAATGATGATTATTCAGTTTAAACATTGTATATAACATCGTATAAAACTACCCCAAAGGTAGACAATTAACATGAAATGATGAACGGTCTATTTATTACCGAAATAATTTTGATGATATTAAAAATTGAATACAGCCTAGCAAATCTATTATGAAAATAATATATAATAGCAATCATCACTTAGATTATAATTGTACTATTCTAACAAAGAATGAAATCAATTCCAATTACTCAAAAATAATTGAATGGACCATTTCCTCGAACACAAAAGTGTGATTTTAATGTTAATTCTGTTTTTCAGCAGTCTATTTTTCTTCTAGAAACTAGTGCAAACTATTTCAATCAATCCATATTCGTCAAATAATACAACGCATCAATTTTGATTCCTATCGAAAAAGATCATACTAAGATTCGGTGTCTTCAGCTTACTAAAAATTACCATGTTACTGTGTAAATCTTGAAACCCTTATCTGCGTATCGACAAGGAATTGATAACTTATATTCTGCAAAAGAAAAACACTAAGACGAAAGCATTTTCTATTACACACATACTTAAATAACTGTCAGAAACTGAATAAACCGATCAAAGTGGTGATTTAATTAGAACAGATGCTCCTAAGAAATTTTCTCCTAATAATCGTCTGTACAATCTGTTGATAGGAAAAACAAATTTCTTTACTATACATTATTCATTTAAAATATTTGCTTTTAGTCTAGTAATAACCGGATTTGATCTTTTTTCAATACCGAAGTAATTTATTTTATTGATACGTTCCTTTATTTTAGTCTATACAATTCACTATGCAAAGCTCATTATCATGGCTAATTATCATAACTAAATATACGTTTTTCTGAATATAATAACAAACAAGTTTAATATTTTAGTAACGAACAAAAGATAGTGAGTGAGAGAGAGGGAGAAAGCTTACAGAATAAAAGACTTTTGTTCATAATACAATTATTATGTTATGTATAAACAATTAATAAGGACTCAATTATTTTGTTGGAAATGACTAATGAGAATTGACCTTGTAGAAACAAGTTTTCAAAGAACTCTGGATTAAATGTAAACTAGCTGTGAATTATAATGTGAAGTTTATTTTTTGTTTTCTTGATTATTGATATTAAACTTGTCTTGTTTTTACGTTAATGGCACTTTGACTTTACAGTTTCGAAAAAACTGATTCATCATTCACGAATGGTTTCTCTTATGATACGTTATCGTACGGAACTGCTTAATTCTCAATGAAATTTCTCCTGATCAAATAAATGATTCTACTGAATATGAAACTGTATGTACTCCGTGCCATATCCCCAAACAGTAACCTACAACTGTTTGAATTTGTCTAAATTTAACTATATACAATTACGACCGTTACGCATATAGTTCTCCATATTTCCTAAATATATTACATGCCACTGATTAAAGGTTATTGATTTGGGCCACAAATGAAACCGTTAAAATGACTACCTAACAGAGTATTAGTACTGTAAACCAATGAATTTTATTCTATTATTGATTATTTCACCACCCCGTATTTACTCACGATCAAAATTTTTTAAGGTTAATCAACTTGTCTTAAACTTCACTGCAAAAAATGGGAAGTTAACTTAAGGACGCCTGTTAAGATTGATCTGCTCCATATTTAAATAACACTAATTTGGGTTTACTTTAGAATTTACAGTTAATAACTGTTAGTACTAACCAACCAAGAAAGTGGTTTCTGTGTGTATTAGAACCATTTATAGTAGTAACTAAAAGATTTAAAAGACTCGATTAGTGCCATCCTAAGCATTATCATTCTCTTATGAGTGCTAAATTGTTTTAAAACGCATTTCACCAACTATGATTAAAGGTTATTGGAGAAAACATCTGGGATGAAAACTGTTTTTACCTCGTATTTACAAGTAACTAAGAGTTAGTTTATGATAATATAGTCTTAGCTTTATTTACAGTCTCAACGTCTGTTTACGAAAAGGTGAATATAATTAATTCTATAGACATTAATGGCAATGATTAGTCTGACAACTTCTTGGAAACAGATACGCCGAATCAGACAATTACCAGATGGACGCGATCTTTTTGAGACGGTATCAAATTTGCCACCATTTCCGTCTCGAATGTGAAAGTGTTTTGTTTAAACTGCAGTTTAGCCGGTTCCACGATTCTATTTTA